CTCGCATTCCTCGTTGCAGCCCTTGTACCTGCACTCGACCTCAACATCTGCCACGTCGGACGAGCCGCCCACCGCCCAGCATGGTTGGCCCATGGACTTATGAAGACACGGGGAAGTACTATCGCGAGGCCGTCAAGCGTCGGCCCAGTTTTAGCGGTAGACGGGATATGTTACAGTTCACCGACCGGCTGCCGTCCACGGACGACTGGACATTACCGGTGCTCTTACAGTTGAACCGCACGTTGCGCGTGCTGTATAATGGGCCGTTCAACTGGGACGCTTTCAAGAAGATCGTCATGCAACATATCCTCGTACGTCTACATGATCTTTTGACCAGAACGTGTGATCTGACTTGTTCAGACGGACGATGTTCTTGATGCGCTCAAAGCGCTGCCCGAGGACGAGCAGATTCCGCACCTCGTGCAGCTAGTCCTTGACTGCTTGCTGGGACGCACCAAAGGAGGGCGCATGGCCGCGGGATCTCAGCATGCGGCGTTACTTTGTCAAATGGCGCAGGTGTGAGCCGTTCTACTTTGAGGCGGACACGCACACCGACGAGGACATGGAGCGGGCGGCGGACCTTTTCCTCGACATTTGGATGGGTCAGTCCCCGGGTTGTATACTAGTGTGCCCGCTAACCGTTCGGTGTACATTGTTGTTGCACAGCAAACGATCGACTGCACGGTACGTGCATGCTTGCGGTTTTGTTTTGCCGCTTTGTGTTGACATATCGGCGCACCCCTGCCTGAAGCGGCAACCCCAGTACAATTCGGCGAGGAGAAGGACTTCCCCGGCTTCACCGTGTACCGAGTGAGGGATGAGGCTGTCACTGACGCGGAGCGGCTTGCAGCAGCGCAATCGAAGGAGCTGTACCTGAACCTGCAAGCGCGAGGTTGGGCGCCTGAAAGGATGGATGAACCGCTCCAAGTTGGAGCGTCGGTTGCGCGGCCTGCAAAACTGCCTCCGCCCGCGGGCGACATTGTGGTGAGTTTCTCTTGATCTGCTCCTTACAACGCTCATGTGCTGGACGGCCAGATTTGCGGTCCCGGCATGTGCGCGCAATGCATCAAAAAGCGTTACCTTGAGTGCCGTGTCCCGCAAGATGGCGGAAAGCCTAGGTGCGTGGCATGCCGCGTACACAAGCTTGGATGCGAGCATAAGGTGCGCATCCTGTCCTCGCACGGTTACGGGGTACTCATAGAATCATACAGGGCAAAACTATGGATGCGCTCAAGAAACAGTCGCTAGAAGATGACTCGGACTCTCGTGAGGCGACACCGGACCCTAGTCAGCGTTCCCAAAGGTCAGGCTCGGAAAGCGTGGTCTCTGAGTCTAACAAGTCCGCGGCGTTGACGAACGCGTCTGCTGGTAAGTTGTCCTCCCCGCAGCTGCTGTCAAACTCAAGCTCTTTGTAGATTCCGTGCCCGGTCCTTCCGGTGGTCGCAAGCGCAAATCCCAAGGGTCGCGAGACAAGCAGAAGAAGGCGAAGCGTGCTCGGAAGTAGACAACTGTAGTACAGAGTATTGTCTTGAACATGTAGCATAGAGTATCCGTCTATCTTGGGCAGTGGCTGATGCGTTTGGTATACCACAATCGAAGGGACTTCTCCGCACCGCGCATAACGCAATGCAGTGTCGCGTCAGCGTACCACGGCGGCCATATGTGTATGTTGCACCATGTACCGAGGACGTCCTAGGGGATCCTGCGCACCCGCGCGAGATCCCCTGACAGTCATATGTATGTGTCGCACCACACACGCAAGACGTCACAGGGGATCCTGCGCACCTGCGCGAGATCCCCTCAGACACATATTGTATGTCTTACCACGCACGCAAGGTGTCACAGGGGATCCTGCGCACCCGCGCGAGATCCCCTGACAGTCATATGTGTATGTTGCACCACGCACTGAGGACGTCTCAGGGGATCCTGCGCACCCGCGCGAGATCCCCTGACAGCCATATGTATGTGTCGCACCATGTACTGAGGACGTTCCAGGGGATCCTGCGCACCCGCGCGAGATCCCCTGACAGCCATATGTATGTGTCGCACCATGTACTGAGGACGTTCCAGGGGATCCTGCGCACCCGCGCGAGATCCCCTGACAGCCATATTGTATGTCGCACCACGCACTGAGGACGTCTCAGGGGATCCTGCGCACCCGCGCGAGATCCCCTCAGACCCGTATGTATGCGCCGCACCATGTACTGAGGACGTTCCAGGGGATCCTGCGCACCCGCGCGAGATCCCCTGACATCCATATACACGGGGCACGCCAGCTGACATGGTACACGTTATGACATTGCAACAGTATGATACAGTACGACCTGGGTACACGGCAGCGACGACGAGCGAGCGAGAACAATACGAGTATGACAAGATATGCGCTGACGACACGCGACACGGTGCGATAGCGTTAGAGACCAGAAGACATGGGACGCAGCCCAGCAAGACACGGCGTTTGTGTATGTACATACTATCAAGACCAACCTTGTCCGTACAATCACACATCGCGAGCTGTCCTAGTCCTTGTGGACCGCCTTTTTGGCACCCGTGGTCTTGCGCGACGCTGAAGCTGTCGAGCCGCCGCCGCGTTGCTTCGGGGTCGGGGTGTCGGGCGCGAATGCGGCCATGTCGTCCTTTGACGATGACGCTGCGGCGTTCCTAGAACTCGACACTGTGGGATTTGAGGACGACCGCGCAGCGCCGCTCGAGGAAGAGGGAGCAGCCGCGTTCGAGGTCCTCGACGCGAGCATTTCGGTCTTCAGGTTGTTAATGGGCGTAGGCCTCGGCCCGTCGTATTTGGGGTACCACCCCGGCCGGCGCACCAGGTCCTCGGGCGGTTGGTGAGCTGGGACCTGCGGCTTGCTGGACGCAGCTTGCATCTTCGCAATCTTGTGTGAGAGCATCGTTAGTGGAATGATAATGAGTGCAAGGCGGATACATACGTGGTAGCCCACCGCGCTCTCCACCTCGTCCTCGATGCGGTCCCGGATCTGCTCCATCAGCTCCTTCCACCGCGTACCGAGCCAGCCCATCGTCACTACCGCGTTCCGATCGCCGTGCCACGGGGAACCGTGGTCGTCTGGCTCGCTGTCGTTCTGGACCGCCTCGGGCAGCTGCCCAAGGTCGCCCGCCCTACTCTTCCCTTTGCCGTCGACGACCTGCGGCTCATCGATATCCATCGCGTCTTCGGGAGCGTCGGGGCTGCTCGCCGCACCGGCAACTAAGGCGCGTAGGGGCTGGTCATCCTCGGAGTCAGAGTCGATGGTTATCGTCTCCCTTGCCTCGGCGCGCGTGCTCTTGTTGTCGGCCGTCTTCTGGGACGGCCCAGGCTTTGATGCGCGCGCCGATATCTTCGCCGATGACGGCTTGGCCTCCGGCGTGGCGTCGACTTTCTTGCGCTTGTTCGGCGTGGCCGTCGCCGATTTCGCCGACGTCCTGGAGACGGGTGCGGCGACCTTCGTCTTGGGCTTCGCAGCCGTCTTCGCCTTGCCGCTTTGTGGAGTGCGACTTACGATGTCGTCCTCGCCCGGGCTGTCCGACATTTCTTCGCTCGAAGAGACCGCCATCCGCTTGCGCGGGTTGATCTTTGAGGTCGTGGGGGCAGTGGTCGAGCGCGCGGGGGGAAGGTCAGCGTATCGACCGTGTTTCTGGTCGTTCACGTAGACGGCCTCTGCTTCGTAGTAGGTCTTCATAGTCTTTAATCAGTGTCCTAAACGGTTTTGCAGAGAGGTTTGTACTTACCTTAATGTCGCATGGAGATCTATGCCCGGTGATGCAGGCGACGCACCTGCGTCCGAGGCCGCGGATGACGCATTCGGTGGCGCCTCTCTTCTTGCACTGCGCACATCGCCACTTGCCCATGAACTGTAAGAGAGTTAGCGAAGTACGTGTTGTCGTAACAGAAACTCACCTTCGCGTGCACGTTGTCGTTCTTCTCAGTTGCGGGCATGAGAAGGGTCCACTGCCCTTCCCACTTGGGCGCAGAGTTGTCCACCTCCGGGTCCTCACGCTTGGGCACGGCCGACGCCTTGCCCTTGCCTGCTGCCCGTGCCTTCCGCGCCGAATTGCTGCTGATGCGTTTTCCCCCTCGGGCCTTCCCCTTGCCCTTGGGTCCGGTCGGCGATTCGTCGTCCTCGCTGTCGACGAGCTCGTCTGCCTCCTCCACCTCGACCTCGCTCTCATCTGCCTCCTCCACCTCGACCTCGCTCTCATCTGCCGCCTCGACCTCGACCTTGCCGTCAACAGGCGACGCGCTCGTATGGGGCAGGGCGGGTCGGTCTTCACGCTCCCGCGCCTCGTTGGCCTCGCGTGCGCGTTGCGCATACGGGTGGTGTTGCAGGCGGGCTGCATGGATGTCAGTCGTGGCGGGGCTTGCACGTCGTGCGAGGTATTCACCGGTCGCCTCGTCGTCGTCGTTGCGGTCATCGCGGTCCTCACCGTCCTCGCCCGGTTCAGTCTCCCCCGGCGCGTCCTCGACCAGCGCGTCACCGCCCGTCGCATCCTCAAGCTGCGCGTCGTCGCCCAGCACGTCCTCGACCTGCGCGTCGTCGCCCAGCGCGTCCTTTGCCCCATCCGCATCCTCGCCCGGCGCGTCCTCGACCTGCGCGTCACCGCCCGTCGCATCCTCAAGCTGCGCGTCGTCGCCCAGCACATCCTCGACCTGCGCGTCCACTGCCTCCCCCTCATCCGGAGCGGCGCTGTTGCGCGCAGGGCTGTCGGGGCGGTCGGACTCCGGTGAGACGCTGCGATCACTGTCGGGCTCAAGGACGTTGGAAACTGCACACACACGCATGTTAGCCCATAGATGAGTGCTACTATGCGCTACTCACTCCTCAACCGATCACCGGCTGTGAATCAACGTGTGATGAGCTAGTTGCGCGAAATGCGTCAATTGGGACGACTTACCTATCCATGGCATAAAGATGTTGAGGTGGGGCATGGTGAAGTCGTCGGTGATGGTTGAAGGGACAGCTTCGATTTTCATGTCGATGAGGACGCGCTGGAGAGTGCGCACCTCGCCTTCGCGGGTAGACCTCACATACTGCATGGCCGCCTCGACATAAGGCAGCCGGGTGATGGATACATTCTCGAGGACTGTGAACCAGTCATCGGTCTGTGGAATCATGTCAGTCAGGGCGGCGCTCGATGGGCCTGTGATTCACGCACGATGATGTGGTCCTGGATGACGACCTCGACGGCCTGGAGAGTCCACCGCTCGTCGACGAACGCCTTGATCAGCTTATTCAGCGCTTTCATCTCCTCGGGTTGCCATTCCAGTGCGTCCGGCGGATCCTCGCAGAAGAATGGGGTGACGGGTCGCTTGCCAGCCGCTGCGAGTCCGGAGTCCTTGTGGAACTTCTTCAAGGTCGCGCTAAGGTTTTGGAAAGTCAGGGTGCCGACCATGTTGTAGGAGGGGTTGCCAGATGAAAGAAGGAAGGGGGAGCGACAGAGTCAAGTGCCGCGCGCTGTCCTAAGTCCGAGACGCTCGGTGGTCGCGGCTCCCACGTAGCGGCGACGCGATCGGCCAATCGCCGATTGATCGAGAAGCGCTCTATCTTGATCTGCTGACCTCGGTGCGGTCCGAACATAATTGAATCTTACCGATTGGCAGGCGCAACTTCGGCACGAGGATCTGCAGGGATCGTCGATCAGCTACTGTGCAAGTGCGAGCGCGATGATGAGGTGCGAACGCGATGATGAGGTGCGAATGCAATGATGAAGTGTGAGCGCGATGATGAAGTGCGAGCAACATGGGAGTCGCTTCGCGTTTTGGTAATGAGAATGAAGCGGCGAGTTTGCGCGGTGCGCCATGTCGGCCTCGTGTTGCATCAGCCGAGCCTTGCGGTGGAGGCAGCGTTTGATGTCGGTAAATCAGTGCGTCGTGCGCTGCGCTGTCGATCTTCATGTAGTAGTACTCCTACCCCCTGTGCGCGCATATGTTGAGGTGTGAATGTCAGGACGGCCCAAAAAGGGATCTCGCGCGATCGCGCGACATCCCCCAGATCGATGTTTATTGAGTGCGCCCCGTACTCTCTGGGGTTTTTGCACGTGTGCGCGGTGCGGTCTATGTTGCGTCCGACTGGAACATTTGCGAGTTTTCTGATGTGTCCCTGCTTTCCAGAAAACCGCGCGTTCGGCATCATCACGCGCGCGGCCTCGCGGTCCCCTTTCCGAGCTCATGGTGGCCATGCTGCGTGATGCTCGTGGGTCCCTGGAAGGTGCGCTGTGCTCTCTCTGATCTTTTCCCCTCATCCGCGTCTGCGCACTTCACAGGGTTTGCTTGACAGTACTACCGCGCACTGCTCACAATGGCTTCGTCAAGTAGTCAAGCTGTGGCCGGGCCGTCGTCGACGGAACAGGAGATCGACCGAGCCCTGGAAGACCTGGGTGAGGATGCGTCGGAGGTGCGCTTCGCTTGCGCTGTGTGGTGCCGTTTCTACGCTGACATGGGCATGATGTACGTACTACCAGATTCTCGAGATGCAGACGGCCGCGCAGGAGATATACCTGGAGTACTCGCGCCAGATGTCGCAGGCCATGTATGGGTATGCGCTGTTACCGACGCTGGACATGTTCCAGACGGAGTGTAACTTGGTAAGTGTCCATAAAACGTTCAGCACGCGGTCCCTGGACACTCAAAACGTCGACGCATTGGTTGCGAACTTCAACACGAGTACGTACCAAAATCTACTGCATCCCCATCGGGTTGAGGTTGCGATTGCCGAGGAGGCGTTCGACTTCCCCGCGAACCAAGACTGGCACCATCCCGAACAACTGCCGTGGGTGAAGCTCAAGCCACGGGAGCTCGGCGCGGGGGAGCACAGCGACGCGCCGCGAACACACGCCGCGTACACGCTCATCGGGCAGCATCGGATCGAGGCGAGCAAGCAGATGCTCCAGTCGTACGTGGAGACCATGGCGAAAACCGATGCGGAGCTCGCCGCGATAGGAGAGAACAGTCCGAGGTCGAAGGGGTTGCGCACGAAGCGCGAAAAGCTGTACGACCGCCTTCGCAAGCACGGATGCTGGCTATGCGTCGTATATAAGTATGGTGAGTGCGCTGTCTGTGACGGCGGGGGCGTGTACGTGGTTGGACGCACGTTAACCTGCTTTGTTCAGGGTCGCTGGGCGACAGGAAAGCGGCGGAGTGGCATGCACAGAACAAGTCGTATCCGAGCAAGGGGGAGACGCCGGAGGAGCAAATGCGCCAGAACATGCGCGAATTGTACAAATGGCGATCCACCGGGTCGGCCAAGGACTTGCTTCAGGCGCACATCCGGCTAAGTACCATCGTCCACAACATCCGGCCACCAGGCACGTCCGGCAGCATGCTGCAGACGGCCCTCACGCACATGTACCGCAACCCCGCCATCCGGCATTTCCTGTGCTCACTCACGCCCATCCTCGACGCCTCGCTCCCTCTGTACAACGATGGGTCCGATCCCACGAAAACGCGGGGGTTCGGGCGTCATTACTACGACCGGTGCGCGCTGTTCGCCGTCAGCTCTTGGCGACGCGTGTTTGCGAAAGGAGGTGGGGTAAGTGCTCGGGCTGTCTGAGTGCGTTATGGGTGCTGATACCTGGTACACACCCAGATCACGCTCTTCGCGATGATGCGGATGCAGTGGGTTATGGGTGTCATCGGCTCCAAGGAGTCTTTCCACGGCATCAAAGAAGTCGAGGAGATCTGCGACGAATACGACAAGGCACGCGTGTCCAGGGATAGGTACCTGCGAATGAAGCAAGCCCCGCTCAACGCGTCCGAGAATGCTGCAGCCGACCGGAAGACGGAACTCGCGATGTACGCCGTCGCGCACGATTTGGACGAGGTGGATGGTGCGATTTCGTCGACGGTCGCCCGGTCGGCCGACCGTCTTCAGCGCGAGTACACGCGCGGCGCGCAGTTGCCCAACTACGAGCTATGGACCGACGAGATGCTAGACACCGTCGACCAGTTCGCGACCGACCACCTCGTGGATGCCGCCTCCCTCGGGGTGCGTTGCAAGCAGGGTTTCTCCATGATGAACCAATACAGCTCTGCGCTCATCAACCAGCTGCGGTTGAAGGCGGGGGGTGCGCTAGGTCAGGAGGACGATGATGAGGATCTGCTGGCGACGGAAGGAGACCCGCAGACGCCTCGGAGCAAGAAACGCGCTTGGGCTAAGAAACGCGTCAAGGCGCACAAGAAGCATATGGAACATGTCATTGGCCGTCTCGCATACGCGTACTACAACTGGACGGTGTTGGATGATGCTGAGTTCACGCCGGAGCTGCCGCTGTTGACGTGCCATGCCATCTCGCTGGTCGGCGCCCAGGTCGGGATGTACTCGCGAGGGTGGGAACGGGTGAGTGTGGTACCGTCATGGTGGTGTGCGTGTGGTGGCTCAAAGTCCCTATCTTCAGGTTGCGCACATGTTCGAACCGACGGCGTACTCACCGCATATCAATTCCAACGCGTCGGCGGCCACCAACACCAAGGACAAGGTTGAGGCAGACAAGACGCTCCATGCGCTGATGGCGACGGTCAATACGCCGTACCTCAAGACTGGCTCGGTCCGGGACTTCACGCAGTCCGACAGCGTTCATTGGGCAGTACGTGGTTTGCGCTCCCTACCTCTTTGTCTCTGTATGTTGATGGTTCGGTGTGCAGCTTGCGCGCGAATTCTTCGGCGATAGACACACCTTCGTCGCGTTGCTCCAGGACTGCTCTGGTAGCCCGCCGGCATCCGTCTCGATGTTCCGTGCCCTGACGCGGGACTCGCTCAGGATGACCTACATGCCGCTCACGCAGGACGTCCCCACTGTGGTATCCAAGGCGGCCAAGTTCACCGTGAAAGGCAACGGCAAGGGGAAGGGGAAGGCGAAGTCAGAGGAGAAGGCGCGCGCGGACTCCAGCGCCCTCGCGCAGGACCATGACAACGCTGTGAAGCAATTCGCGGTGTCGCCAGCAGGGACCGTCTTCCCCAAGCTGGACATCAGGCAGCACGTCAAGATGTTTTCGTCAAACCTCAGATGCGTCACCGACGCCATCGCGATGAAGACACCTGACCTCCTCCAGGACACCGGTATCAGTCTTGACACCCCCGCCATGCGTGCGCTCATGCACACGACAGCCAGCACGGCGGAGAAGAAGAGCGCCGCCCCCGCTGCGGCTGCCGGTAAGAAAGGGAACGCGTCTGCGGGCCCCGTCGCGGGATTCACCGCTGACATCGCTGAGGCGGACACCGTGGAGGGCGTGGGCAGCGTGACCGCTGCGGCTGTGCCCAAGGCTGCGACTCGCGTCTTGGTTCCAATGGTTGTCTACTTGCTGAACGAGGTCGCCATTGCGCAACTCCTGTACAACGACCCAGGGTCAAAGTGGTGGTCGAAGCCTATCGGCGAGTTCCGCGAGAAGTATCGTCTGCTCATGGACTCCTTTATCGACAGGAATGGGTCTCCGGATGCGAAACACGCCCACTTCCAGTGGTGGGACCTCGACAAGCCGAAGCCGGAGTGGGATGCGCACCCTGTCCCGCAGTGGTACGTGGACGGCGAACCGAATCCGCAGCTCCTTCTGTGGAAGAAAGGGCTGGACCAGATGGGTCTCGTCCTTACCAAGCAGAAGAACGGTCCTGGCACCCCATGGCAGAAGGGAAGCGGCGCGGCCGGTGGCAGCGGCGGCGACAAGCCTGGCGATACGGCCGACAACGCCATGGACGTTGACGAACTAGCGGACCCATCATCGTCGGCGCCAAAGGGAAAGGCGACTGGGAAGGCGAGACGAACGACGGCGGCCAGTCCTCCGAGTGCGCAGGCCGCGGAAGCCGAACAGGCATTGACGAAGCTGATGCAGTCGTTCCTGAAGCATCGCTTTCTTTTGCCGCCCGAAATGCAGGCCAAGAAGGGCAGGGGCAAGGGCAAGAGCACTGCGGCCGGCGTCGCCACCGTCGATCATGCTGCGAAGGTCGCGCTGACGCAGCTGTGGAACGTACGTTCACGCGCTCCGTTACTAGTATCCGCATGCTCATCGACCATCCCAGGTGTGCAAGTTCTTGATCGCTCGCAACCACCATCGCTCCGTTCAGCTCGAGAAACAGACCCCCGGTCAGTTCAATGACGTCTCGACGTTCGAGGGCCACAGTTACAAGTGGCAGAACATTGCCGACGCGCCCGACCTCACGTTCAGCAGTACTCTCGACGAGGACACTGAATATCCTTGGTGGGCCGAGCTCACCAACGACCTGTCGGGGGTGCCCGCTGGTGATCTTGTGGGTGATCTGCTGCATGTTCTGGAGAGCAAAGGCCGCGAGTTCGCGCCGCACACGAAGCTCCGACACCCCGACTTTGCCGCGACTGCGTACGAAGCGGATGAGGAGTCGGCAAGTCATCGGCAAGTGCAGCGTATGGAACGGTTGAATGACCTCGTCGGCGACTCAGTCGACGACTGGATCCAGCAGCTGCAGAAGCACACGGTTGAGGCCAACATAGAGCGGATAGTCAAGCACGCCCGCGAAATGGACGTATACGAGCCACTCCAGAGCCACCACGACCGTGCCATGGAAATCCTCGAACTGCTTGAAGACAGCGACGACCC